ATAATGCATTATATGATAATGAATACAAAGATTTTAAGTAAATATTCAATTACATTGAATAATTTTTATCGTATATTTTATAAAAAAAGAATGGTTTTTAGGTGGGTTTTTCGTATTAAAAAAAAATTATCTGAGCATTCCTTCGCATCACCACAAAATTAAGTCAAATGCGGCGTATGTGATCGGATATATTATTCTTTTTCTCGGATGCACCGTCTGTTGCCTATAAAATATTTAAAATGAATGTATCGTTATGGCGATTTTCGATTCTATGCCAATACGAGTTCGGCCCATCCTATTTCTAAAGCTATAGAAAAATTCGTAGTAACTATATACTCAACATAGATTTATTTTGCAAACAAACACTAGGGTGTTTTATTATTTGTTTACGTATAACGCATAAAATATGTTTAAAACCATACTTCTAGAACGTGTTAATATACTCGTATATACATATAAAAAATATTTCCACAAATTACAATTGTTGAGCAAATGAAAGGGGAATAACACTCGTAAAAAACGAACTTTATAGTGGGTACATTTTTAATCAGTCGTTTCATAGTCGTTTGTATAGTATCTCCAGAGGGAGGAAAAATCGCTGAGTTTAAAAGGGTAGTTTTCCTTGTTTTAGTCAACTTGATTTCAAGTTTGAAACTTATGTCGTTTCACGTTTCGATGATTATAAACATAAATATTATAAAGTTATAAAATTTAAATGTTGTTGAAATTAATGATTTAATTGTTGCATTGGTTTAATTTCTCGACATATAAATAATACCAGTTGTATAATGTAATAAAGGGTGTGGTGAATTGGAAGTCGTCACTTGTAAATAACAGTAATAACACGTCACAAAAATGGATACAGATATTTACTTATATTTGATTTCTAATTGCAAAATGTTGCAATGAAAACAAGAAATACATTTTTGGCATCACATTATATAAAAAAAAACTCGACTGTCCAATGATTTGAATTGACATTTTTACAGATGTTATGAGTATTTTTTATATTTAATGGAGCATACATTTAGGTTTTTATGCATTACATATATCAATATATTAAACTAGCAGGTACTAAAAACATATAAACTAAAAGTATTTTTGGATTAAAAGATAAAATGTAACTCTATAATTTTAATCGAATTTACAAAAATTAATATTAATCTAATTTAAGAAAAATATTTATAATTTATGTAAACTAACGTCTCAATAAATATTAAATATCTAATTACAGTGTTAGTTCCTTTTAATCGTTCCTATGTATTAAGTTCTAATAACTACTCCAATACAATACAGTTATAGTATGACTATCTATAATAATATAATAGTACGAATTATATTAATTCGTATTGACTAACATATTAGCAAATAAACAAAACATGTTATTAGTAATCTAATTATAATAATGTTTAAAATAAAATACTAATAATCAAACTAACTATAATTATATAGACAGCTAAAATGGATAACGGAAAAAATATAACATTCGTTGCATTCAGATAATATTGACATGGTCTCAGATAATGGGTTGGTCGTTAAAGAAAAAAAAATACGACTTGTATACGGTGTATACTGTGTATAAGAAAAAGGGGAATTTACGAGTGTTTTTCGGCCACACGACCATAAAACTCAGAAATAAAGACATTTGGTCAGCAGCAATGCAACAGTATTGAAGTCCCATAGGAATATAATGTGTAAGCTACGTAGACGGAAATGAGCTGCTAAAATACGGGTGCAACTGATACGATCACGGGCGCTCTGACGTTAGTTCTGTACTAGAATGAAAGGTTCCGTATGTGTACTTACCTATTATCAACAGGCGATAATAAATAGTAATTCAGGAAATTAAAAAGAAAACGCCAAAGGAGTCTTATTATATTCCACTGTATACCCCTTTATTTTGGTGTGTCTAACTACAATACATTTCAGTTATTTCAGATAAAAAAAAAGATTTAGCTAATACCTATATACGCGTTGTTTGTTATTTAATAAGTACCTTTATAGTATCGATAGAATATCTTATATATCTTAAAAGAGAATTTAATAATTTCAACACAATGAATTCGATATGTGATTATGATTTCTAATATTAAAGCCGAGAAACATAAATATATAATAAATGTACCTTAACATAAATTCACGATATTTTTAATTATAATTATAAATATATGTTTTTTAGTTATTTACAATTCCCAAAATCTCAAAGAGATAAATTGAGAATGAACCTAATAATATAGTTTGTAGATGAATAAAAAATTGGAATTAATAGTCGCTATTTATAATATATATACAAATATTTGTTCAATAATATAATATTATATTATATGATTCAATAGTAGATTTAACGCAGGCAGGAAAATTTGCTAAGCTTCATTAATATAAATAAAATCAGTAATGATTATAAATACAGAAGAATACATTTTTTGTAGTGTGTAATTTTTTAAATTTACATAATTTATTATAGATTTAGTACCTAGTCAAGGAACTATTTTTTACAATATTTATTTTTTAAGTCGTTATTATTTTATTTTTTTTTTTTTAGCAAATATTCATTTGACTATTCCAGCAGATTTTTGACTAAATGGCACTTGTACTCATGTCATTTTTATAGAAGTGGCAACAGCTATCATTAGAATTATTGACAAACCTAAACGACAACGATAAATCTGTTTAAAATAATAATTTTCTAAAAAATAATGTCTCTAAAAATTTACTCATGAATGACATAAAAGTGGCCTGGAGGCGGTGACCAAAAAAAAAAAAAAAAAACAAAGCAATTATAGTTATAATATATATTAAGTTTTTCAATTAAGTACGTAACAATATGCTTCTTTTAAATAGTTTTACATTCAAATGACAAGATATTTTTAGTTCTCTGAATAGAACAAAAGATTAAATGAAAAGATAACCAAATCGTGGGACGATTATCTGATGATATAAGAGTACCATACACATACTTTATTAACATTTTGTAATGTGGCGTCCCTGGGATGCACCCGTTCTGCACCACCAGCGATTAATATAAACACTTGTTACAATACGAACGGTGCACATCAACTCGGGGAAAGAGGGCCTAAGAATAGTCATAGCTATTATAAACGATTGGATTTATAAAAGGAATCTTTAAAAAAAATAATAATAGTAAGGTATAGTTTTGATGAATCTACAGCTTTGTGACTATAAACAACAAACAAACGCGCAAAGTCATCCTGAGATATTAACAGGACTGGAGAGTCGATAATCAGTAGCAGTAGTTATTATCAAGACCGTGAAACGTATATAGGTACTACACACTATGTACAGTCGTAACTGGTAAGATGGGCGCTAATGAAAAGTACATGGCCGTCCGGAGGCCACCCGCATCCAATTAACGTTAACAATGACAACCGTAGTCGTCGTGTTCAGGAATTCCGAACCGTTTTCGGCACGCGTCTTATCTTCGCTTCTTCAGAAAAATTTGAATAGGAACAGAATGCTATTTCCGAAGTAAATAAATGATTTTTTATTGCTCCAAATTTTTAACAAAATTAATCGTTTGATATTATCTATGAACTTTTATGATAGATTTTGAATCTTATATTCAAAAAAGAATTAGAAATAAGAATATACAGATGCAGGTAAATCAAAAAATCCAATCGATCATTCCTTTCTTATGTCACATTATGTATTATTTTTTTCGAGAAAATATAAAATTTATGACAGTATGGTATATACAACTTAAAATATGTGTAACATATACAGAGAGGTAAGACTGAAGAAGTTGACACACGTAAAATTAAATACTATGGTTGTATAATATACAGCCAATTTATCGTGGGCATTGACGTATCTATACATATAACTTTAATTAAAACCAGAGTTTTAACAATAAAACAAAATATTTGTGAATTGCAAACCATAGAAAAAATTTTAAAATAACTATTACAATTAAAAAAGTTTCAAACGTGTTAATAATATTCTTTAATATATTTAATTATTGTTTGTCAAATAGAAAGTTATATAAATATTTAGCGAAATTAATAGGTGTACTTATAAATTAAATTATATTTAACTATTCTTTATTGGAAAGTTCTGATCGAATCGATTGATTCCAATTTAAACAGTTATAGATTTCACTATAGAATTGTGATTTAAAATTCATTAGTTTAATAGAAATATTAAAGAAGAACCTGTTGGTTTTACTATGTGCATTGCGTTTGTATGAAAAAGCTCGAAAATCTGTACAGGCAGTACCTACCTCTTTACACTGGAAATCAGATACATTTTATGACATATTCGCATAGGTATTTTTTTTTTAATTTTTTTTGATATTCATTATATTATAGGTACTTATAACTAGAGTTAGAAAATTAAAGGTTATTAGAATAATTGTTTAAATGTAATCAGTTTTCAAAATGTATCTAATGGTACTACAGTGGATTATACGCCATACTCGAGTAAAGGTGATTCTTAAGTTTCCGATGTATATCATTTTAGCACAGTATAAAATTATGATTTATGATACTTAAATAATATAAAATATTAATTATTACATAATATATAACATTGCGATTATATTTATAGCTATAGCGTGCATTATATAATACATAGCGTAGCATTTAAATAATATATTATAATATAAACAATACCAATATATTATGTGTATTTTAAGTAGGTATATGGCGTTAATGTTTAATAAGTTATTATGAAAAATATTCGACAATTAATATATATTAACGAAACCATATTAATAGGTACTCATCTACCTAATTTATAATATATTATATAGCTACTATGGCAGGGTCTGGGAATAGATGAATTTATGGGAAAAGTTAACTTTGGATTATTAAGTTATAAGTTACGCACGCGTATAGATACATTAGTAAAATTAAATAGTCACATTTGCATGATGTAAGCCATAACGATCGACGGATGCCTATAGTCATATGGGTTATACCGGAACTTGCTGACAAATTTAAAGTAATAATAATATAGCTGGGGCATGATGTTATAAAACTGACCCGGGTTCGACGAGCGGTTGATTTTGTTTGGCGAACGGCATGCACAAGTCAGCCGGCACAAACCACGACGGGCTGAACGCGGCGGCCGACCCGGGGCCACCGCCGCCGGGTCCGCCGGCCGCGTGGTGATGATGTCCCACGTTGGCGGCGGCCGGATGTCGCTGGAATGACGCGGACGCGTAGTCCATGGCCATCGCCTGGTACGGCAGCATGACGTGCGTGTGCGAAAAATCCAGCGTACGTGAGCGCGAGCGTCAAGTGTTAGCTGCGGCAGCGCATCGCGTACGTAGCTTATAAAAATATATTATCCGACGGCGAACACCTGCGACACAGACACCAGCGGCAACGACGACGACAAAAACTAAACACGCGCGACGACGGCACTACCAAACGATTTATACGACCAAACAAGTCGTATAGATTAGACCGGTATACGCGTTCACTAGTGACGTATAATATTATAGTGTTGTTACACCCTGTATGCGCGCGTAGGGTACAAGCACGTGGACGAAAATTCAAAGTCAGACGAATGTAAAACGTTCCGATTTGTCGCTCGAGATCTTCATGGCACGCCGTAATAATTATGCTCACGAAAGTATAGGTACATAAAATAACGCTATTACCTATTATACAGGCGGTGGCGACGGCGGCGGCGATGGTGGCGATGCGATGCCTAGTAATCGCGTAAACGTACGATGCGTATTATTTTAACATTATAATTATATTATTAAATTATTTGGGTGTGCGCGAGTGTTGCTTAATAATAAATTATCGAAATGTGTTATCGTAACGGCAGCAATCACACGTCGTCGTATCGGCGGTCACCAATATGTTAGCGCGAGCGCGGCGTCACGAGAAAATCCAAGACGACACGTCCGGGACGGGCTGGTTGCGGTCCGCACTGAGACGACGTCGGTCGTTCGTGCCGGCGCGCGGAGGGTTCGACGCGGCGCGACACAACCGAAACGCTGCAGACGGCGGCGGAGCGCGCGCGCTCTTCGCCGGACACGCCCAGGCACGTACACCATTGGTCCTCCACACGCTCCACCCACGTACGCGCGCGCGAACGTCACGTCACCACCGCCGCCGTCGCTTACCTGTTACTATTTTTGTTACACCGTACGACGCGCATATTATATTATGCTATACCGTTTTGCCGAACTATATTCATTAACGGCGGAAACGGCCGTCACGTGCGTCTCCCCCTCGCCCCTAACGAATACCTATATGGCTATACAGTACATCCGTATATATGTACATCAATATATGGTGGTGGGTGTGTTTGTGTGTGTGTTCGGATGGGTGGATGGGCGCAGTAGGTGCGAGGCGCTCTTCCCCAAAGCTACAGAATCTTGTGGGTTTTAGAACCTCAGCACGATCCATTTTCTCGCCCCGTTTCCGATGCTGATTTTCCTTATTATTACTGTAGACTACCGTGCGTGCGATGTGTATACTGCGTGTTACGCGCGTTGTGTTAATAGGTACCTATATACTTTGGTTCTTATCGATTTATATAGATATTTTTAATTGTTATCGTTTCGGCGCAGTCGTTTACCTACAGTATACTTACTAACCCTATAACATTATTTATAAGTATTGTAAAGCATGAACACTATATGTCTATGTCATTACTCATTACCTATATTGCTTATAGGTGATTGTACATCACCGAATGACGAAATATACTTGCTGTCAAAGGGACATATGGTATATGATGGCATATACCTACCTAAATGCATTCATATGGTCGAAGAATAAAAAAGCAGAATTATGATTATATGCTATATAGATTATAGGTATTTATATACTGGCTATATGAATTATAAGCTATGTGCCTGTGCCTAAATTCAAATAAAAACAAATTTGAAAAAAAACTTAAAAACGTAAATAAATTATTAATATTCTGTACGACTATAAATACATAACCTATAACATACCTATATCAAATATAGATTATATCTAAAAATTACAGTGTACCTATACTGTTTTGCAGTCTATATTATATACATAATGGTATTGATTACATCATACGCATAAAGTTGAATTGATTATATACCCAATACCCATATAAAATTATTTAATATTAATTATTATTATCTAGTAACAATCTTTATTTACAATTTAATATTTAAATTACCTAGATAGGTATATTTTATTTTATTTATTTATAAGCGGAGAAATGATATTTCGTTTACAAAAATTGTGTATAAACATAATACGAGTAGTTATAGGTACTCTATAAATCAATAAAAAATGAGTATAATATATAAAAATAAATTTGTATTTATTATACGTACCTACCTATTTATAGAAGAACAATATAGGTACAAAAATATTTTTGAAGCTAAATTTTCAAATATACAATTAAGTAATTATAAAAGTATGGATACAAAAAAATTATTATTATTATAATAAAAAACTAATGATAATTTATTATAGATATAAAGTATTCAATATTATGTTTTTTTTTTAAACACGTTAGTAAAACATTATTAGTTATATGTTTTCACCATAATTTATCACACTTCAGTGAATCATCTATTAATTTTTAAATAGAATAAACATAATTTTATATTTAATTCGTTTCATAAACCACCGAAAAACGTGTAAAGGTCATCTACTAACCAGTTAAAAAAAATTATTACGCTACGTTAATTTTGTGGTAAAACACGACCCATTTAAGAATTAAGATACACCAATCGTCACACTAATTTTATCATTTTATGTTTTAAGCATTATGAATGTATGAAACAAATGTAGGTAATATTTCAATATATACCTACCTAGTTTACAAATTAAAGTCAAATTATAGTATTAAAACTGAATATTAAATAAATATATGCGAGCATAATAAATATTACAATAACTTAAAACGTAATTATTTACCAATGAACTAAAATCAAGTTGGGGATGTAAAGAATTATCGGTTGGCAAATGATATAGCCACTTATACCTTCAAATCACGTCCAATTATTTTCAATGGACTAAACGTGTTATAAGGACGCGTTTTCGAAATTTGACAGTACCTACACACTATACAGATATACGTAACATATTATATAGAATATAACGAATTAATTTAATTTAGGTGTACATCATTTTATAATGCCATATTATGTCAATGCCAGTGATACATATATTATTTTATCGAGAAATCATACAAACTGGGTCAGATTGAATAATAAATAAAAATCCAAATGAAACATACCTATGAGTATACACCGAGATGTAGATATCGTTCTTGTAAAATAGCGAGTACTCTGTATACATTTATGTATACCTATAAAGTGGGGGGCGCGTATATAAAGGGGGTCTCTACCCAAATCAATATTCAGGACGTTACTCGCTTGCGGACCTCCGCCACCGCCACCGACGTCGGTGTTTGGCAAATGGCCGGCTCGACATTCCATCACAGTCCTATCTGTTCCTGCAGTACACTAAAATATAATGGAATATTTATATTATTTATGGGGCTTGATCGACGTGATCTACTGATGAACAATCGCTCGTCACGTGGAATTTATAATGAGCAGTTTGACATTAAAAACAAAATTGAGCTTATATATGAGTAAATTATTATGATCATACACTGATATTTATAAAGCATGTGTGGATAACATGCCAAAATCTACTTTGTGGATTAAGCAACTATGGCAACCAGCAGGAGTTGCATAATGTTTGCTTTAATGTGGTACTATTTTTTTAAATGCTATGTTACCAAATTATAATTATATTAACTATAGCAATAAATAATTATTATATTAATCAGGTATATCAATGTACATTATAACAGATTAGTGGGTATAGACATTTAAATAGATAAATTTAAATCTTATTTATTTTATAAAATAATGTAACAGGATTAGCTATGTATAATAACATCATTATTAATAAATATTATTAGAAACCGGCTAATTATAATCAAAAATTATATACTAATAATATTTAGAACGTAAGCAATATTTTTATAGCTTATTAAACATTTATGTAGTTCAGACTCCGAAATGCAGTATTTTAGTTTAATGAAGTTAACATTTCAAGACAATCGATAACTAAATATTTTTCCACAATATAATTTTTTTAATATATATATAATAAAATGTATTATGCATATTATATTTTCTTAAATAATGTTGATGTAGACTAGAAATAGAATAATTTTATAAAATATTATATTAACCAAGGTTTAAATTGGACATAAAACCTATTAGAAGATTGTTGGAAACTTGGTAAATTAATGTAACTGTATATAAAAAAAAATAATAACAGTATTATAATATAGAATGATATAGTTTTACATCAAGCATATCACCAATTTATTTCCTGTGCAGTACGCGAAATCCTTTAAATGCAGCGGGAGCATACATAATGTAACTTAAAAAGGCGGCGACGTTAAGGGGCAATATTTACGACGACGATGAGAAAAAAAGAATAAGCCTATATATTATATTATACTCCTTAAGGCTGACAAATGATGCCATTATGACCAACCGCATTTGCCTAAGCCTTGGTCCGTGATATTTTCTGTCTGAAGCATTTCTGCAAAATGTCCACGTCAAAATACTACTATAACCTGCATTTGTCTATAAGAATAGCGGTGATATAGTGCAGTACCTACATTTCCTTACGGAGAATATTTATTTAATAGAATCAACTTTTTATAAATCTCTTATAACAGATTGTATTTATGAAATTTAGAGAAGGGCAAAGGCTAATAAAATGTAATTTGAGTATAATTATGTCCATCAATAATATTATTATACAAAAAATAAATATTTATTCCATATAAATATGTAATACTTAATACCTATACAGAGATACATTAGAAAGATATTAAATCATAACATGTTATTACTGATGGATTAAATATAATATTTATCAAAATTACTATTTCATAAAAACATTATTTTATAATATTAAATGTAGAATATTTATAAATCATGATCATAGACATTAGACAACGACAAAAAGGTGGATTATCCAAGTTGAACCCTATAAAAATAATATTTTTAATTTCGTTTTATTAATAATTATATTTATATACATTTTTTATTTTAAAACAACATTTATAAACACAATCAATTTTGATTAACTATTGATTATTAAATGATATTTTACGTAAAGCTTCAGTCTCAGAACAATATTCATAAGTCACAAATAAAACCAGACGTTAATAACTAGAAAACTTTCATATAGGAAAGACTATAATCTACTGATAAAATAATAATTAATAATAATCTCCTCATTAAAAAAAAATAAATATTTTCTTAATGTTTTATAAATGTATTATATAAGGTGTAGTATTATATTTAATAAGAAATAATACATTAAATAGTTTAAACATTTATAATATTTATATAAAATTACTAGATGATAATATTGTTTTTTATGTTGAAAATGTTTGCATTAATAAATTTGTTGGTAGTGTGAAGAAAAGTCTTCACAGCTTTATATGCTTTCGAATATTAAAGCATTCCCTAATATTTTCCACGATCTCCGCTTATAATGGAGGTTGATCGTTGTGTATGAAATTATTAAATACAAAATAAATATTGATAAAAATGTTCTATTTATGTGTTAATTAGTGTCCAAAATAATATCTATGAGGGTTTAATAAGAAGTAACAATACAACGTATTTGATAGTTTAAAGACTTGCTATATTGAAGACCTTGGAGACTTATATATGACGCCATGCGTGTAGAAGTCGATATTATTGTTCCATTTGAATTGAATTTGGTTTAGCGTAGTAGGTATTATATTATATACTTTTATATATATGCAATATATGCGTATATATCGACACATGTATCATATGCATTGGAGGAGAAAAATTACTGTAACTCAGAGGCGTGAATAGGGGATGGATAAAAAAAGAGGAAAAAACATTATTTTGGCATTTCATTCAGACATTGTTTCCGCATAAAAGGACTCCGGAGGGT